ATTAATTTGTATGGTGCACTTGGTGATATTTTGTTCTTCTATAGCCTTTGTTTCAAAGTGATATTTATTTATTTCAAAGTGATGTTTATCCATTTATATTTTCTTTGTCTTTTTATGCATTACTAGAGATGGTTGATACAAATGAAATAGAATCTCATGGAAAGGCAAGTTGGCCTTGGCATGTTGTAGACAAGTTTATTGATTTATGTATGAAACATATATAAAAGCTTAGGAAATTGTCTTGGAACTCACTTCACAAAACAAGGTTGGACAACTTTGGGAGATGACCTTTTTAAGGAAACATGAGTTAGATATAGATACAAACAGCTTAAAAACAAGTGGGATAATCTAAAGGATGGTTATAAAAATTGGAAGTTTCTTAAGATGAAGGCTACTAGTCTTGGGTATGATCTTGTGAGGAAAACTACTACTGCCCCTAAAGAATGGTGGGATGCAAGAGAAAAGGTTAGTTCAAACATAATGTATTATAATTAACTAATTTAACTTAATAGCTCTTTACTGATTGATAAATTGTCACAATTGTGTAGGAAAACTCTAAAATCAAGAAATTTAGACTCCGTGGAATAGAAATTGAGTTGGAAGAAAGGTATCAAGAGATGTTTAGTGGAGCTATTCTTGAACTTGATTTTGCTTATACACCTTCTTTAGGAACTCTTCCACCAATAAATGACTTGAATGGACTTGAGACTTTAGATGATGTGAGTGGGAATTCAAGTGCAAGTGCAAACCTTCTAGTCATCTTCAACACAAGAATGATAATAAAAACAAAAAGGGAAAGGCTGGTGAAAATTCCTTGTGAAACAATGCTAGGAAAAAAGAAGGTGTTGGAAAACTATTTGGTCAAATTGATCATTTTTGCAATTTACTTGACAGTAGGAGTTCTATAGCTTCAAAGATGAAAGATTGTTATTCCTCAAACATTCTTCTCCATCTCCACATCATGTTATTATTGTGCCTCAGTCACAAAATCAAATAAAATAATAATTAGTGAACTTATCAAGAAATATCAATAAGAAAATATCATCGGAATAGACTTGAATAATTTACTTACTTTAAGGTGATTCACGCCTCTAGGGAGTGCAGAATGATTTGTGCAACAGAGATATACATAGCATGTCGCCCCTAGGATGTTACAGTTTTATAATTATACCCTATGAATCTACACTATTCATAAAGTCACCTAACTCAAAACACCCTTTTTAACCCAAGAATATTTAGAAGATAAAGCAAGGTAAAAACAATAGAAGAATGTGGAGGAACACCTTTTTTAAGCAAAACGACATGTCCTATTTATAGGACTTATGGTCATGTAACTCCCATTTGTAGGTTAATTATAGGAATAAATTGAGCAATTATTATGAAATAATGTGCCCTTAAGTAGGACAATTAACCTACAACAACTAATTTGACCAAATCCTTAATGGGACAATAAATTAAATTTATAAAATATATTGTTTTATTTTTTATTAAAATATTTAAGTTCAAACAATTCCCTCACTATTTTAATAAAAAATAAACCTTTCTTTCGGACAAAGATGGATTATTATGCATAATAAAAGTAGTTAAGTCTTGAACCTTTACTTAGTCAACAATTCTTAATCCGAAATCAATAGTGAACTAAGTCTTGAACTATGACTTCATTGGAAGATACAAGAATTGTATCACACACATAATGATCCAAATGTTGAGTTTTTCACATAGTTAGTGCATTATGGCCTTGCGCATGTTGCGATTTTCATGAGTGATCTAGAAAATTGCCCATCCAATTTTCATAGAAGCGGTTTGACTTCGACACTCATATAGGTGAAATTTGTCAAGGGTACTCTTATAACTAAGACACCCCACTCTATGAGCTACAAATTTCATTAAGAGTATATAACATAATCCTCAATTCATTATGTGATAGATGCATCCTCACCTTAGGAATGGGACCAAAAATTTTTATCTGAAAATGGGGTTAAAATTCTACAGATCAATATGATTAGTTCTGATTAGAAGCTATTTTTGGTTGGTGAAGTTTATTAAGAGTTACAATAAGACCTAAGGATGGAGAGACAATGTGAGGCAGTGTAATAATCTTTCTATTTTTGTAACAGAAGGTTACAAGAGCCTATATATAGGCTAAGAAAATGGGAGAAGATACATGAATTACAAAAACATTAAAGATTTGTTTGGAAACTTGAATTTGTATTTGATCGATGCATTTTAAATATATGTATTTAAAATATATATAATTTTAAATACATGTGTTTTCAAATTCATATTGAATTAATATAACAACAATGAATTAAATATTCAATTTGTTCATTAAAGAAAATAAGAGAGTTGAAATACATAAATCTAAATTTTAAATACACGGGTTGGAGCATACTTTAAATACATAGATTTAAAACAATGAAGTACATGAACCCAATTATATGTATTTAGAATGGCCCGTTCAGGTCCAGTGGCATTGGACCATGGGTTAGGGTTATTCACCTCTTATGGGTGACGTGTTCGAATCCCACAGAATTTATTTCCCCCCTCCCCCATATATAACTGTAAATAATACCAAAATTGTTCAAAAATTATATGTATTTAGAATTAATTAAATTGCATACTTATTTTGTAAAAATAAATAGTACTATTGAACTTGAAAAGTTCAAATTCAAATATACTCTATGAAAATCACGGTTCCAAATATACCATAAATAAGAAGAAGAATATGAGGTGGATAGAAATACCAAAACAAACAAATCCACTTGTGAAATTGCGATCTGTGATAATATACAAGAAGTTACTCTCTTGATTCTCTTTTCTCTTCTCGTCTCTTTTTTTCTCTACTTCTCATCTCAGCTCTTTTCCCTTCTCTTCCGAAATTTCGGAGAATTTTTATCTGTAGACTCTAATCTCCA